ATTTCTGCAAAGGCCCCGAGGGCAGAACTGAAAAATGCAGTATTTGAAAGTGGCGCCCGAATTGCAGCATGGCGCCAGTTGTCCAAAATCCTACGGTACCAAAAGGAGGGGTTTGGAAAAAGGGTGCCAGGCCGAAAACGGGATGCAGCCGAAACAACAAAAGATAGACCAGGGATCGAGCCCTGGCGAAGTCCGTAACAGGTAGACTGTGAGGACCCCGGCCTCAATCTTATTATTGGTATAAAAAAAAAAAAAAAAAAAAAAGGAAAGAAAAAAGGTCGAGCATTTCCTAGAGTAGCCTCCTTTCTAGAGAAGGACTCAAAAGTGTGATACTCGAGGCGTGCCTCACTGGCCAACTGTGTTCTGAGATTCTCTGGGAGACATCTCACGAACATGGTCAATAGGACCTGGTCATCATAGCGAATGCCTGGGACTACGAAGAGATTCTCCACGGTAGTCGTAAGCTCCCTAACGGACTTGTACCGTCGCTGGTCTAATGACTTTAGTCTTATTATGGCGTCTGTGGCAATCTGTGCCTGCTGCGGATTATGCCAGCGAGCTTCTACCATGTCTATGAACTCATCTAATGTCATGGTCTTAGCCCAATCTGCCATGCGTCTTCCAAACCCAGCTTTCGCTATAATCCGGTCTAGCCATTTGGCTGCCTTACCCTCAAGGTAAGATGCAGCAGTAATCACCTCCTCCTCCTGCAAAGTCCTCTTTGCCCTTACCCACATTGGAACCGTTCTCAACCATGTGTTGAGCTCCTCGTCCTTCTTCTCACCAGAGAAGGCGACAGGTGGTTTCATCGGGGTCTTTGGGTACCATGGGCCTTGCTGCTGTCCCTGTGGTGGAACAGGTTGCTGCTGCTGTGATGGAGTAGCTGCCACCGCAGGACCGGAAGAAGTAGAAGCAACAGTCTGAGACGCTGCTGCTGACGAACCGCTTGGTTGTGTGCCAGCATGGGGGTAGGTGTCTATCAGCGCCGACATAGGGAGCGACGATCTTGCAACTGCGGGCAGCCTTGGTCCTAGCTGTTGCAACTGAGCCAATATCTGATCCAAAGTGTCCTGCATGAAGTCCATCCTACTGTCTACATGCGCATGCAACGACAGCAAGCTAGACCTCAACACTTTTACATGGTCGTTCATAGTTGACTCATCCATTGCCTCTAGTGCAGTTTTGTCGGCCTCTACCGTTTCCAATCTGACTGTCCTATCTCTAATCTCCTTTTCTCTATCAGCAGTTTCCTTCAGTTCCCTCTCTAGCCTAGTGTGAATCCTTTCAACTTGCTGGAGTTCCCTCAACTCCCGCTGGCGTGGGGTCATTGGGCTTAACTGCGAGCCCACCATTTGACTGGTGGAGTGACTAGAACCTGCGACACTAGAACTACCCGCGGACCCAGTGGGCATCCCCAACTGAGTGGCAGACGAGGTGGCACCATTGGTTGCTGCCGCGGTAGCCATTGCTGTTGTCGCCGCTTGCCTTGCTGCTGCGTTAGCTGCTGCGAACTCTTGTGCAACAGCTGCTGCTGTCCTCACGCTCGCTGCTCGAGCACGGGCTATAGCTTCGGCTCTAAGTCGTCTCTCTGTATGGGTGTCCAGGTACCGAAACACGTACGGGATCCTACGTGATCTCGATCGTGTTACTCTACCATCGTCAACTCTACCCTCATCGCTGTCTGATTCACTCATGAACTATGCATAAACTGTCTGCACTAGAACCTTCTAGAGAAGTCCTACCACAGCATACATTTGATCGGCACTTAATTTTCTCAAAATAGTTTGTGTCCGGCAGGAAACCAAATGCTACCATTTCAAGCGTTCGTCAACAACATTATCACTGACTGTACACATAATCTAATCCTACCATTGATTAGTTCACTTACAGCAGCTTGAGATAGAACCAGCTATGGTAGTATACAAGGGTCCTACTCTACGCTGTCTGTGAGGTGTTAGCAGTCTGTCCACCAACTAATCAAAAATAAAATTAAATCATGTTGCAGATGTATGCATGGCGGAAATGGTTGTGTTTACAGTTGAGCACCAATTAGAACCTACCCTCCCCTCCATTCAACATACCGAAGAGCATCTTTGAGCAGCAGTGTCTTCGTGTGTAATGTCGGCCCACCCCTATGCCCCAAGTCATTGCCGAACAAGCCAACCCATCCACTCTTATTGACCCTCGTACGGAACGAGCCTTACAACCTGGTTTGATCTGGCTGATCAGGAGGGATTTAAGGAGAGCCCCCATCTCCTCAGGAATTATTTAACGTCGCAGACAGGACGACGATCACAGCCAGTATCAAAACCGAGCCCCCAGCCAGAAATATTTATAGACGGTCTGGTAAGCGTCTCTTATGGGCTGGCACCCCCGTCACGACTTCTATAGCGCAGCAAAGTGCCGAAATGGACAAGCAGCCATCGCATGCGTGACCTACTCCCATTGGGTTGGCATGGTGACCGTGACCCAAGTGCTTCGACCAGGGCCCTCCAGAGGCACCGCCCTTTCTCCTTCCAGATGCTTCCGAAAAGATTGTCGTCTCTCAAGGTAGCGTGCATTCGACACCTCACCAATAAGAGAGGACTCTCAAGTTGAACTCACTTCCTCACGGTAAGAAGAGATTGAGAGGGTAGATAAGGTAAGGGAACAACGTGCCTGGAGATAGCTGCCCCCAACCACAGATTTCTCACCAATTGAGCTGAATGTGCATTTGATGACCGGTCGTTAGCCTCGGTACCACCCACAACGCAATGCAGTGCCTCCTCAGCTAAATGCCACATCAGCATGCTCTCATCACCAATCATACATTCCGCAGTAACCACGGCAACCCATGCCGTATAGCCTTCCGGCGCGCGCCTCTCTACCCAGGCCGCGTGCCTGTTTTTGTGCCCACGTCACAAGTACCAACTGCGAAGAAGCATCGTCAACGCACCAAGTCTGTATAACGCGGCGCACGAGGTAAGCAGCGAATCGAACCAGCTCCGATACCAAAATGCAAGGAACATGAATGTGGACGAAGCACAGAAATCCAGATTGCAAAGTGACACTGAAGTCCAAGTAGTCAAAGCAAGAGCAGATAGCACAATGGAACCGAGTAAYCATCCATTTGAGAACGATACAGAAGRATYGTGAGTCAATGTCCAWGCCCAATCGGGCAACACCAACAGCATAACCCAATGTAGCTSTCTCTCTTGAATGGCGCCAGGCGCCCTACCTACTCTACAGCCTATCACTACAACTACAGCATGRAAGCAACCAGACAACTTGACGACCAGYGAGTGATGATGTCAACACCAATGCCGACCTCCTCTCCACCAGGTACGTCTCTCTCTTCACCCTCTCTCTCCCTTGTTATCCCACACAGCGCCCTTCACCTCCGAAGAACCACCTTCGCCCTTCACCTCCTCTGCGCCCACAGCCAGCCCGGCTATGGCCGCCAGCGCCCTGCGCCCAGGCTGCGCTCTACAGCTTAGCGCTAGCCTGCCCTCACTCAGCCTAGCGCAGCGCAGCACACTCGCAATGCAGCAGCGTGCCGGCCTTGCTCGCAATGGCCAAGATCCCTGCCCACTCGCCCTCCCTGCCTATATGCCAGTGTTGCATGTGGGCGGCCTCCCTTGAGCCTGCGCCTGGGCCCCAGTACCTGTACCCAGGCCCAATGCGGTTGGGGCCCAGGAGATGCAGTTGCGCCTCTTTCATCAAGGCCTGCGACAAGATTCAGATAGTGGACCCGTTTGCCACTGGCATTTTCGGCCTCTATATGCAGCATGCATTGTCGGCCTCACGTTTATGTGCCCAGGGCCTAACCAATTCTGGGGCCCTGGGATTTCTGCATTTGCAGAGATCCGATACTCGGTGCCCTCCAACCAACTGGCGTGCGGCAACTGTATGGACCCCACTTCGTGAAATGTTTGAACAGAGGGCTGTCGTTGATTTGCTGGCCCGCCTTCACTTAGGGCGGGCACGAGGCTTGCTGGGGGCCTTAGCCCAGAACATGTACATCACGGCAAGGCCCCTTTGAGGGCTCAATCCTCACACAAAATAAATAAAATAAATAAATAAATAAATAAATTGCGGGATGCCGGCGTTGAAGGTGCCTACCGTTGGTTGGTCGGCAGCCGACGGGTCTGGGGCCGCCGACCGTCGGCGTGACACAATTATTTGTTTTTTTCTTTTCCTTTGCTCTTGTTCAATGACAACTTCGGCAACTTGATCCGCAATCTGTTTTTCCTTTCTGCGGACCTGACTTAATTTCCTTACATATTGTTTTGTAACTTGTGGAGGTTTTGCCTTCTTTTGCTTTGTCATTCTCTTATTTGAACAGGTGCTCAGTGGGATCAACAAAGGTTGTAGTATTGGCTATCATATGTAAGTATGAAGTAATCAATCAAGCCTTTAATCACCATTTCAAGGAACTTTGTTTGTGCAAGTCTTTCGTGTTAAAAATGTGGCATGTAATATGCATGGCTACTGCGACCTGAACATTGGACTGATATAATCTGGACATCCTCATTTTCGGACCGGTTCGGATCATCGATCCGGACGTGGTCCAGATGGTCTCTTTGAATGTCCAATGCAGTTTCATCATGTTACCTTGACATCAGGGGGAGTCTCCCAGGAAGACATACCTGTTGGCATATATAGCAAACATGAATGACCATTCATTGATATTCAACCATGACTGTGCAGCCACAGTCACTTCGTAGCACAACTGCAGCAAGGGAAGAAAATGTCAGATAAAGAAGACAGAGAGAGATAGATAACCAATTTGAAGGAGAAAAAGGAACACTCCGCAATAAATTTGAATAAAGGTAAATATTAAATGAAGTTTAAGACAGCAACAGTGCAGGGGTCAAAGGCTAAATACAAACACTCACTCTCTCTCTCTCTCTCTCTCTCTCTCTCTCTCTCTCTCTCTCTCTCTCTCTCTCTCTCTCTCTCTCTCTCTCTCTCCCCCCTCCCCAATTTCTGTTTCTTTGCTCTGCCATTTTACTGCAAAGGTGCACTCGCCACCGCTGCATCCCAAGGAGTTGCCATAATCCTTTACACTCTCCCCACCGCCTTCTCCTCCATCGCCTTGAGATTCACTTGCTGCCTTTTCATCTCTCTCCCTTGCAGGCCTTTCAAGATTGTTGGACCTCCGGCATCATCATTTTTGTTTAGGATTCTCAGGCTAAGGCAGACGCCTGTGTCCTTGTGATGAGTGCAGGAGTTGGGAGTTGTGCTGACTTTTTGTCGGAACCTCACAGGCCTAGTCTCCTTCCGCTATGTTTCGCCTCCTGTTACATACTGGATTCCACATGGGCCCTGTTAGGCCCGACGGCTAGGTCTAGGGGGTTATCCCAGACCGTGGCCATGCTGGGCCAGTCCGCCCTGGGTTAAAAGTCGGACCTTTGGAAAGGCCGACGGTAGGCCCCTGCAACCGGTTTTACCCGGGTCTGCTACTGCAGGCCCTGAGAGGGAAACTGGCTCAAACCTGTTTCATTTGAGCCTGGTGAGGCTGCCACTTCCCCGTGTGTCCGATCTGAACCGCAAATCGGTTTTGATGGTTCAGATCACTGCGTGGCTTCCTCAGCAGCCAGGCCGAACAGGCCACCGCCAGTACTTAGTACCGGCCAACGGTCTGTTCGGGACAGACTGGAGGCCGCGGCATTGAGGAGCAGCGCTGCGCTATTTTGGTATTAGCGCAGCTCCAGGCAGTAGCGCTAGGTGTAGCGCTAGCTGCAGAGTCGAGAGAGAGAGTAGAGACTTACCTGGTACTTACCTGTGAGCGCCATAGCTCCAGCGCCGAAGGCAGGTCTTCAGCAGCTCCAAGGTGGCACCTTGCGTCCGCAGGTTGGTGCCTGGACACTGGATCAGGGAGCAAGGACTCTCCTCCCTGCCTCCTCTCCATATCCACCTTCTCCTCTGCCCCTCTCAGTTCTTCTTCTTCTTCTTCTTCTTCTTCTTCTTCTTCTTCTTCTTCTTCTTCTTCTTCTTCTCCGCCGTCTTCATCTTCTCCTAACCTTCTATCTTCTCGGTTACTATGGGACAGAGATCGATGGTGGGATATCGGTGACATCAGTACTGAGACCGCTCCAGAGTAGGACGTTGGGGGGGGACTATTGGGAGGTCTGACACGAGGACCATTTCGAGATTCTATAACTTCGACATTTTGAGATTCTGTAACTTTGACATTTCGAGATTCTGTATCTTCGACATATTGGGATTACTATTTCGGTGACTTTGTGTTGGCACCATCTCCTCCTCCTCCCTTCGTCTCTTCCCCCTACATTCGTCCGTGCATGATGTGTCCAGGCTCTGGCGACATTTTCCATGGTTGGAGCACCAGGCCTTCTCACCCGATGAATGTATGTGTGTGAGCCTGCGTATAGTCCGAGTCAGATCCATGTTTATCAGTCTTCCGCTGCATTATATTGCTCTTTGTTATTGGCCGGTTCTAGGTTCTGCATCATACTTGTGTTCACTTTCACTACTATGCAACAGTTTGGTATCGTAGCAGACCAAGATTGGATCTGCTCACAGATTGATCGAGCGATTGATCTGCTCACTTCGGACGGACGGACGGACGGACAGACGGACGGATGGACGGATGGGTGGGTGGATGGGTGGGTGGATGGGTGGACGGATGGATGGATGGACGGATGGGTGGACGGATGGATGGACGGATGGACGGATGGACGGACGGACGGATGGACGGAGGGATGGACGGAGGGATGGACGGAGGGATGGAGGGATGGACGGAGGGAGGGATGGGCGGAGGGAGGGATGGA